GGAATAAATCATTGGTTCACTAAATATACCATTGCCAGTGTTTGAGGTAAACCATAAGATTTGATGAGTCAAAATTCAGGAGAATAATGTCTGATTTGTTATCATTATTAACGTCAGCAGCTGTTACAGAACGTGGTGAAGAACCAGTGGAATAATTCATATGTTCAATAAAGCTATCATTGCCATCATTTAAAAAATAATGAATGTTTCCGATGTGGCCAATGTGACAATAACGTCTAGTTTACCATCGTTGTTAATGACTCCGGTAAAAACATCTCCTGTTTAGAAATCGTTTGAATAGTAAATGTACCATTCCCATTGTTAAACAATGAATCTCAATTTTTTCAGATCGCTTATCTACACCAATGATATCTGGTGTGCCGTCAGAATTTATATCATCTGTTGTCATCACAACTAATCCAGAATCAGATGGATACTCTTTTATTACCGTATACATTCGAGTACATTGTTCTACAAAGAAACAAAAAAATACCTTATATGAATGCCGTCAGCAATGACATAACAAGATTTTATGAATTATTATGTAGAACGACATTGTCATAAAATCATGCATGTCGAGATAAACATTATTATTGCTCAACAGAAGTTTAATTTATAAATATATATACATCTTACTCAAGAATTTAAAAAAAAACTTTTTTAATAAAAAAAATGACTTTGAAGAGGAACGAATGGAAGAAATATTAAATATATACAGATAATGATCCTGTACCATCTGTTACTATGTTTTTTTTGTCACACTGAATGATAAAATTTTTTTAATTTAGTTATTAAGAATAGATAGATCCCATCTATAAACAATGTTTCACTTACCAATAGATGCTGTTGTAGGCCTTATTGTTATTATTGATGCAGTTGTGAGCATTATTGTTTCTATTGATGTAGTTAATACGGTGTCGTTTTTGTTATCCCTTGTTTCTAGAAGATATAATCAGTAAAGAATTTCAAAAAGGAATAAAACAATTATTTTCCATTTATGTTGTTTTTTTAAAGAAAATTCCAAAAGATCATAGACTTTGTCAACAAAATTTTACCTTCTGTTGATATTTCCATTGTTACTTTTGTCGTTGATGATACATCTACCTTTGCCGTCAAAATAATAGTTGTTGGAATGACAATGACTGAAAGGATTAAGATTCCAATAATAATAATAAAAATAATCAACATTAATCTTTGTCTTGAACACCATGTTCTTCTAAAAAATTATATTTTCTTTGTTTAATCTCACATAATATAAATAAGAACGTACTCTGTTGTTGATGTCGAGTTCCGTGGTGTGTCGGATTGTGTCGCTATAGATTGAATTTCGACTCTTCTTAAGAAATCTTTAATACGTGTATTCTCGTTCTTTTATTTTTATAAAATGACTTGATATTGTCTGTTATAAAATTATTCTAATGTTATGGAGTACAACACTTGATATTTATAGTTAGTTACTAATACTTACCATGTGTTCTTTTGATTTCTATTTTATAAGGACAAATGTTGCATAGATAAAAAAAAGTTTATATGAAAACATCAATTATTTGCTATATATAAAGGCGAAACATTTCTAATATGGACTAGAGAAATAAAAAATAAACGAGAAAAATTACGATAATCTCACTCTGCTCATTACTTTCTTTTTTGGATGTTTCAGAATTTTTTTTGAAAAACTAACAATGTTTTCTACTGAATATTTTTATTCTCTATACTTCAATTGCTGTTAATATTGATAACCGACTAGATACCATCATTGCTGACTACTTTTATGAACGTATAAACATTCTATTATTAAACACATGTAGGTGTTATACAGCTGAGTTATTCATAATATACATGCCTTTTTCATAATGAAGATAGACGAATTGATTAGTGTAAAAGAGCTTGCATATTCGTTATGAGTGATCGATTCTACAAGAAACGTCCTGCAACTAAGTTTGGAGTAGTTCTAAACGTCATTGAAATATTATGATATTTAATGATTCTCCAAACGTTGAGTATTATGTTGAACTAGATCATATTTTTGTTTTTAAGGGGGTGGACTGTGGGTATATCTATTGAAAACACTTGCAACCACACCCTACCCATACCCACCCTCACGCTCACACTCCACCCACACCCACATGTACCCATCACCCACACTCACCAGCACCCCACACCCTTCACTTTATTCGAATGATCGTTTGATAATATTTCACTGGCCATGAATTATTTTCAAACGATCGTTGAAATATAGTGAAGAACATTCATGTTAGTAGTCCCATTGGGAGGACCTTATGTACTCCCCACCAAAAAACTTAACTTATGGCAGTGGCAACACGACGCAAGTCTATCGAGTTCACATGATATTCGTTCATGCGTATGCGTGTGGGCTTGACCTGTTCATGCATGGCCTGACGGTCGCCACTCCCACCGACAGAGACAGTTTTTGTGGCCGTGTGCAAGAATATCTAATATATTTATTAATTGATCGTGAGTATCCCTTTTTTTATTCCATACAAATCATTTTCAACCACACAAACAAATAAACATCATTAATTTATCGTCTGTTCGATTGAAAATTTTTGTATTCGATTATTGTCACGATCAGCGACATAGAGATTGCCATGTCGATCGAATGATAAACCATAGGGATAATCTAATTGATTTGACTGTTCTCCTGGACTATTTCCGCCAACAATTACACTTCCCTGCATGCCTCCTTTTGGCCAACGCATGATTCGATGATTAAGACTATCAGCCACATAGACACTGCCCAATTGATCGACAACGACTCCTGCAGGAGATGACAATTGTGTAAGACGATTTCTTTGTCCTTGGCCACCGGCTACGACAATACCTTGTTTTGAACCTTCTTCCCATTTCATCACACGATGATTGTTCAAGTCAGACACGTATACTGAATTATTTAGATCGACAAATACGTAGTGGGGGGTAGAGAGTTGATCGGAACGATTTCCATATCCATTGCCACCGACAACCACTGTTCCTTCAGTATCACCAATTCGATATCGTCTCACTTCATCTTCTCCCGAGTCAACGACATAGAGAGATCCATTCTCGTCCATTGTCAAACTCCAACAAGAGAGGATGTTTGAGACGATTGTTTCTCCACTAGTACCATTTCGAAGAGGCCATCGAACTACTCTTCTATTCCCGTAATCGCAGATGATGAGACTGTCTCTCTCTTTGTCGACAATCACATCTAATGG